CAATACCGAACTATTTAATTACATTGATAAAACTGTGCTGCAACTTAAGCCACAGGGTCAAAGGGCTGGCTGATTATGATATTCCATGGCGGTGCCCGTGGATCATTCTGATTGCAAATCGACCGCGTCGCTCTTTCAACTTCCGTGTCGGGATCGCGGCGTAATTCGTCGCGTAATTCGCCAGGTAAATTTAGAACTTTGGAATGTCCGATAGTACTCCATAAATTCGAACTATCCGACATTCGATGCACGCGAATAACGCGAGTCGGAAAGATACCCATATCCACCTTATTGGATCATAGACCTCGGCTACTTGTTGAACCCCCTCCTGATCCAAGTCACTTCAAAAACGGGTCCAGAAACCTTTCTTAGGGTTAGAATACTTTTTAATTACGTTGAATGTATTCGAGAAAATTGTTCAGAACGTATCGTAATATTTTTAAAATTTATTATTTTTCCATTGAGTCACCATTTGCAATTCTTTTAACACGTATCGAAAGATCCCCTTTGTTCCACGCTAGCGTGAAACGGAAAAACGTATCATCGTATCTACGTTATGATGCAACCTCTTATTACATAGTCGTCTAGTCGTATAGATAAAAAGCGAATTTTCGTTTATATCGCAAAACCGGCAAAGAAGAATTTTCCTATTCTTATCACACCGCTTCTGATTGCAGATCAGCTACTCGTTGACCTCCGCGATAAAATCGTTGCGCGCCATCATTGGAGAGTAAATTTACAGCGCGGAACTTGCATTAATTTTCCATAAATCCGAAGTACTCTGCACACGCGTTGATCGTCGTGTTAGAGACTCCTTTCGAGTTTTCTCTCTCTTCCTTTACTCTTTCTCCCCTTTTTTCCCTATCTCTCTTTTCTTTTCAGTCGGAAAAAGTACGGAAAAGGTTTCCATTACGTGGCTTGATTATAGATCAGATCATCACTGGTCGTCCTTCGATCGTGATCAAAATCACCGTGCAATTTTATCGTTGCATGGTAAATTTAGAATTTAAAATGCGAGCTAATTCCCTCGTAGGATATACAAAGCGTGCTACCATTCACCGTCACATACACAGACACACGAATATACTGGAATCAGGACTGGTATCGAATTTTTTCTCCCTCTTTCAAAGCTTTTTCTCTCTCTTTTTTCTCCTATTATTTTTATTTTTTTTTATTTTTTATTTTAGATCTGTTTCAGAGTTCAGCGAGCTTTCATCGATATTCTCTCTGCGATCGGTAAAAGAGCAGTCGGAAATATGTATGCTGGTAAAAGCGTCTCAAAACTAACGGTAGCTTTCGTTCATGCATCAATCCGCTTCACCTGCACGAAACCGGTCCGAAAAGTTGCACTTTCACATACCTGTGTCCGCGGCGAGGGAATTGCGTTACAAGGGCCGATCGAGAGGAATCGCGATCGGCCGGCGTTCTTTCTTCTTCCCAAAAATCGTCGCGAGGAAACGGGCTCGCTCGTTCCCACGGCCGGATAAATTTCGTAATCAATCGAGTGAACAATCGGCTCGTTCTGATTAAATAACGCGAGCAATCGTTGCGCGGCTAATCGAACCGCGAATCGCGTTATCGGTCGGCGTACGTTATCGGCGAAAAGTTTGGAAAGGGCGCTCCTTTTTTCTTTTTGGAAATATCGCGCACTAGTTCGTACAGGGAAATCGATAAAGTGGAATGAATAACGACAGTTATCAACGAGAGATCGGAATTTTCTTTTTTTTTTTTTCTAAATTGAGTTAATAAAGTAGAAGGACTACCTCGGTGATCGAAAGTGTATAACTACTATCGTTTTAGTTTCGCGTTGAAAGATTGGGTTTTAATATTCCACGTCCTGTTTTTGCATCCTCTAGTAATACAATTAAAATATCTCGTATGAATAAGAAAAAAAGAACAGAGAAATTATTTCTGAATTGGAATTTGCATGTTTTGTGCGTTAAACCATTTTACATTAGCATGATTGCCAAATATTATTAAATAAAAATAATTTATATTACCCAAGGGTATTGAAGTAATAATAAATAAATATCAATTGGTAATTGACGATTATTGAATATTCGTATGAATAGTTGAATGGATAAACTTTTATTGCATATTTTATTGCAAATGTAGATAATTTAAATCGTAAAAAGATACATATCTTTTTTAATCAATATCATCACACATTTTACTCATCGAATTATTACCGATATTAAACATTTCAATGTTCTTCAAATTAAATTTCCTTTGCAAAATTAAAACATTTAAAAAAGATTTATATTTTCCGTGAATTCCTTCCAATTTGTGAAGTTTTGTACGTTCTTCAGCTTCTCAAATACATACGTTGGAATTAAAAATAGGTTTCATATTCGAAAAAGAACTTATTCTACTTTTCATTTCGATACAGGTATCTCAAAAGATGAAGAAGATACAAAAATTTGGAAATTACTTCGTTTCTCGACTTCGAACGTGAGAGTCACGATGAGGATAACCCATTAATTTCCATCTCTCGTTTCCGCCATGAACCAATAACGAGAGATGTCTAAACTTTTGATCGGCAATGTACCAATAACGGTCACGCTCGTAATTCGCAAAACGAGCTTGAGAAGTGTAATTGGCCGGATAGTTGTAAATAATCGTCGACGACGAGTGACGATCGCCGCGAACAATTACCAAAACGCGAAAGTAATCAGCGGCAGTGCACCGTTCCCGCATTTACATACGAGCCCATTATAATTGAATATTAATTACCGTACGTACGTACAGGCCGTGGCTGGAAATGCACGGGCATGAATATTAATTCGGTATTCCGCGACGAAATCAGAACGAGCCGTTGTTATTATTAATAACACGATATCGCATAACGATCTACCTCTGGAAAATAACAAAATATATTTATACATATGAACACATATACACTCGTATACACACACACATATACAAACGTAGAATAGTACGATAAGAATTATATTGAACACGCTAATTAAGTTTATCTGGATCCACGGAACAGGAAATCGTCGATTAATTTCACCGTGACTACGCAATAGGGATTGATCGATATTTATACAGAACACGTATGTCCACAGTAAAAAATGGGACTCGTTTGCGAATTTTTTTAGGAGTCATAAGACTTTTTAATAAAAAGAAAATGTCATACCCTTATTTATTCGTATTTGAAAAATGCTCGCAATTTCTTCAATACAAAATAGCGAAAACTGTAGGAATTATAGAGAGTGGTTAGTAACTACCAATCCTTTTTATCATATGAGACCTCATTTTCGCGAAAATTTAGTTTAAATATTCATTTACAATATTTATAACGTACTATAGTGCTTAAAAACAGATTCGAATGACTGACACAATAACTATTCTGCTTATCGCAAACGAATGCATCAAAAAACATTTTGATTAGCGAGAATACAGCTATAGAAGGGTTGACTGTATTACCGTCATGCATACATGTACGACTGCAATTTTTTTTTCTTTTCGCTCGGTTTCGTTCGCGAACAAATGAGCTTACATAGCTCGGTGCCACCCCCGGTGAAACAAAATCCATTTCGTTACTGTTCCGTTGATACTCCATGCACGTTGGCGTATGTGTGTTCGTTCGTTCCCGCCGAGAATTAAAATACGGAAATACAGGAATTTAAAAATCCCGGGAGTTACGGTCGCTCGTTGCGTGCGGTTTTTAGATTCTGCAACTCGAAATGATCTTCATTTACTTTTGATGCCGTGATACGCGCGTTTTATGGCAAACATTGTGGAACACTTCTGAGGAATAATGGTGCGGTTTCTAATAAAAGAAGCGAATAGTATCGTAGAACGTCGAGGAAGTTATAGGCCAGTAAGGTTAACCGAAAAAATCTGCAAGAGATAATTTCATACGATGCAACCCGTTTTGTTTTCTGTTTATGCTTTCGATGAAAAATGTAGCAAAATAATGGCGGAAAGGAAAAAGGGGTTATCGTAAAGGCTGATCCTTGCCTGTCTAGTGGAAAGGTCGTGACTATTACACGCTGCAGACGAATGCGCGCTGTTAAACCACACCAGCAAGCGTATTTTTCTGCAGCATCCCGTTTCGTAATTCTTATTCGCAATTCACGTTTCGCCGCGATCTGGCGATCGTGTTTCAAACCCGTTCCACAGTTTCAAATTAAATCATCATGAGAGCCTTTCGAAAAGTACTAGAACTCCCTAGGGAATATCTTCTGTACCTACGGAAGCGTTTCGCGTTCGTTAAAAGCCTTTCACTCTAGTTTACGCGTCCTACTAGCCAGTTAACTTCGTGTATCCTTAGTTCAAAAACAGTCTCTATAATGAGACCGACTCTGGTTCGCCAAGTTGATATCGTTCATGGACGTAGATCTTTTTCGGTAGTGCTCTAACGTTTCATAGAGTGACGCGATAAGATAACGAAAAAATACACAGCACTTTCCACGAATTGAACGAGTTAGTGACTTCCATGCCAGAAAGGAAAGAGGAAAACGATTCGATCGAAGGCGAAGGTAGACGAAATATTCGAAACAAATTACAGACCTCGAGTCTCGATGGTAAAAAATTAATCCGAGGGTCCACGTCGGAAACAACCCTTATCGATCTTCTCGTTATACGTAATGCTTGCCAAATATCGCGACATGATGAGCGACACTCCTAAATTTATACATTCGCTGCCACAAACGTATTCCAATAACCAAAATTCAATGTAACAGTAACCAAATTTTTGCGAATATCGCCGAGATCAAAGCCTTGTCATAGGAAAGTCCCCCAAAAAGAAGGTCTCAAAAATAATATTCACATAACCGATCTACGTCCAAGATCTTTACATCAATTTTTACCCCGCGTGTAAGCAATCGAAAATCATTTCGAGTCAAACGAATTCCAGCATAATCACGATCGTTACTAAATTATTATTAATAAACTGCCTGCGACACCGACAGGAAACTCGTTCGACGAATACGATAAAATATAGACAAAAGATAGAAATGTAAGAAGAAAAGGAAACATGAGAATGTACTCACTGCAAACCGCTGGGTCTTCGTCGGAGCCATCGGAGCAATCGTGTTCGTTATCGCAGTGCCACGATCCGGGTATGCACTTGCCGTTCGTGCACTTGAACTGCGTGTCGCTGCACTTCTGTGAACCTGCAAGCGCACCGTTGTCGTGATGATAATCGTCAGCGGTGGCAGATACGAGGTGCACGATGCACAGCAATTGCAGCAGCAGCAACAGCAGCAGCATGCACGTGCATCGCGACGCGGTGAAAAGACGCATCGAAGTTCCAGTGAACCGCATACTCGCGAGAAAATGTCTTTTACCAATCCCTTTTTCAGTCACACGAAGCGTACACGACGAACATTCGCGTATATCCGTGTTCACCGAAGAGGGGAGGCCGGTTGTGCACACCTTCGAAGGCGCTACTTTAATCGTTGATCCAATATAAAAGCTTTCAGCGTGCAACGCTTTACGAGGCCCTTTTCTCTCCCCTGCGGACCTAGCCTGCTACCAAGCTTCTTCCTTTCTCTCTTTCTCTCTCTCTCTCTCTCTCTCTCTCTCCCTCTGTTAATATCGCAACGGCAGAAAATCGTCTGTCGATCGTTTTATTGCGGCTCACGGAGTTTCAAGTGTTACGTGAAACGACCGATAAAACGCTGTATACGCGATTACCGCGGGCGGCGAAACTATACCAGGTCGAGCCAGCGAGGCAAAAGTAGCAGATAGCACGAAACACCGGGACCATCTATTCAGAGCATCTTTCGAGCTTCATTGGCTTCGTATCCCTCGAACGAATGAAATCCTTTTGCCCCCGAAAACCCGACGTGTTCCGCAGAGATCTTTCACGATACTTTCATCCCTTCTTTTCTTCTTTCCCTGGCCTGGCCACCGATTTACTCTCGTGGACCACCTTCCGGATCCGACCAAACAATCGTCCGTGAAACGATTTTCCAATAAATCGACTCTTCGACTCCTCCCGTCACACACCAGATTTCTCTTTTCAAGTCTTTCTCAGGGATACTCTTTCTCTTTCTGCCTCTCGCTTTCTCTTTATCTCTCTCTTTCTCGCGATACCTCCCTGCCTTTTCTCTATCCCTTTCTTGTTTCGTGAAATCACTGAACGACGTGAAGCACGAGGATGAAGAAAGTCGAAGGAAATGGATGTAGAAAAAGCTCGCGAAATCCCGTCTCTTTCTCTCTCGTAGCTCTGAACCTTGGAAAGGACGCGCGGTCACGACGCGACCGAGCCCGCGTTACCGATCAAGAAGACGACGCGAACGAAACGAAAGGAACCGATCGGATTGGATCGTGGATCAATCCATGGATCGGACCAAGCACGGCTTATCGCGAATAACGACGACGACTGCGAAACCACACGATGACGACGACAGCGGCGATGCACTCACGCTGCTGGCTGCGGATGCTGTAAGCCAGCGGCCGAGTAAAGGGGCCCCTATATATGGGTCTGAGAACAGCAGACGCGGTATAGGTGTAGAATGCACGCACACCACTCGACCATGTAGGGAGAGGACGAATCAAACGCAATTGTTATTCATTTTTGCATTGTCTAACGGAAGTCCGCTCCACGATTTCGCTGAATCAGGCAGCATCCAGTGTCTACTACGATCAAGGTCTACGGATGAGATTGATTATTTCAGTCGTAGTAATCGCTCGTGTAATAGAACCGTTTTGTTCCCACGCAATCTTGCTCGGTTATAGCGTCAGAAAGGCGTTTGCATCGCGGCGAGAGAGAAAAAGGGACGCAACTCTCCTGCCGTGGTTCCCAGCTTCGTTTCACAATAAAAATAATCCAATCGCTTGTCTTAGACATCTGAATCGCGCGTTGCTGGATATCGCCGAGATATTAGAAAGTTTTATCCAGTATTCAATCGAAACGGAGCTGTAAAGGGATGGCGACAATAATACTGATCTTTATTGCACACGCTGCACGCTAGAAAGATAAATCGCGAGAAATATGGAAAAGGAAGATGAAGTAGCGAACCGCGTGTCGCGATTTTTTTTTATTTCGGTTTCCCACGGATTTTTATTTATCACGACACGCAAATAAAAAAATGCAAACGTTGGCTAAATACTTTAGGCATCCATCTTACGGTCATTTTGGCCACCATATCCAACAAAGTTTATTTACGATACGAGTAAAATCGACGATTGATGAATATTAAAATATCGCGATTCGAATTAAGCACTGTACATATCATATTTAAAAACTACGATTTTTCATTCGAGTATTAATATTTCGTTGATGATGCACTACGCGCAAATGATCACCGACGACGACGACAATTTTGAATAAATTTTATCACCGAGCCTTGAATTTTAAAAAGGACGAATGTTTGTAAAAAGATGACGAGTCAAATCCGTGTCAAAACGTAATCTTGGAATATTTAAACAGAGAAAGAAAAACGAAGGTGTTGAATTTCGCGGGCGAAACTCATTTAGTGTCTTTACAAACTGTCACGTGAATCATCAATGAATCGATGACGGAAACCGCGAAGAAATCAATCGGCCAATTTTGACGACGATTCCTATCGACTCAAGTATCGCTCGCAATTTCACCTTTTTTCCTTTCCCAATGCTCCAGTTCGATTTATAGTTGCGCGACATCCTAGTACGTATGGAAGTTGAATTACCTATTTAGGCTGAACCCAGATACGCCGACTTCTCGGCTAAACTCTAGCAGAGGCAACATAGGCGGGGTCACATTGGCCTCGGAGCGAGTGCTCGCGAAACGTAGCTAAACCGGCGACCGAATGAAAAAAATTCCGATATTAAAATCTGATATTAAGCTCGGAGAGCTGCTCCAGCGAGAGAGAAAGAGAATTTGAAACAAACTCGAAGGGAACAAAGCGAAATGAAGTCGCTGGCGAATTTCGAGAGGTCGTTTCTAGATTTTTCGTTTCACCGAATTTTAAATTACGCGCGCGCGGCACAATTTGAACGCGGATAAGTACGATGCCAACAACCGACAGTACTTTATTATTGTTTGCCCATCTCTGGCGCCAGGAACCGATAAGAAACGGTTCTTTTCCCTTTTTTTCTTCTCTTTCCTTGAATAATCGATCGCGAAATACTCGTATGTGCACAGTCGCGTCCTCCACCAAATGGCGAACGCAGAAATCGGTGTTGCACAATCGGCCATAGAGCAGATCAAACCGGAATACAGGAAGTCGGCTCTAAGTAACTGCGTAATTGGCCACGCGTTAAATCGCATCGTATTAGGGCCCACGAGATCCGCAGCTTTTATTGACGATACGGCGAAGCTGTTGAAACTCGTCGATGGAAAAATCAGCGGAGGAAAATTCAGTTAATCGGTTGGCCGTCGACAAGGAGGATTCAGCAGGGTGGAGAAGGAGGGATCGAGGATCGAAACACGGGAAGTCGGCCGAGGAAGGGAAGGGAACCACCAGACAGCAAGACGGACCAATCGCAACGAGTCCGTAGGCTGGTTTTAATCCAAGACGCAGTACGAGACGAGATTCTCGCGGTTCGCGGCTTACCCCCGTTTTTAACGGGCACAAAAATGTGATACAATGAATGCTAAGCGGTCGTTCAGCAAGCAAAATCTGAGAATATATCGCACACAGGAAAGTACATCGATCATCTGTTCATTCAATGGTCGAACATTTTTCTGCCAAGATCGATAAGATAACCGCGAAACGAGCAAACAAGAAAACTCTGAAAATTGAAATGAACGTCTGCTGTTTGTTCATATAGGGGTTTATTAGTTTTACGAAAATTCTACGAGGATTTTCTTTTAGTCTCATAAATGTTAAACTTACCGAGATTTAAATAACCATTTTCCAACTTTTGATTAAGCTCCGCATCAAACGTTAACGTCTCGATCACTTAACTTCGCGATTTTTCTTCTAATATATGTTTTATCAATGCTTCGATATTTTATCTTATCTTATTTTTTTCCCTTTCTCTTTTTTTTCCTTTAAATGATTTGTAGGAGAAAATGATTTATTTTCGTCACTTATCTCACAAACCAAGCCCTAAATAGTGAAAAGCAAAACTGTATGTATACTATGTTAATTTTTGAACAGCTATAACTTTGCGAGGAGAAATCGTATAACATTTGTGGGTCAGTATAAAGGGCGAAGCTTGTGCTTTTACATCCCCTGATCGAATTTCTACTTAGATATTTTTATAGCAGAAAACAAAGACAGTTTTTCGCTGAAAAAATTGTAAAAGTTCAAACGCAGATAGTTTACTTAGAAAATTTTTTCGAGATCTAAATTTACAGGTATCAAACCACCTGAGTTTTGTTTTCAGAGATCCCGTGAAAGTTAAAGTGTCATTTTTCGTTGCCAAGTGATTTCCATCGACGCGACATTGCATAGAATGTTTCAATAAAATTCCTATGTGAACTTTCTCGTCGTTCGAATGTACGTACTTGCGGTTAACAATAGGTGTAAATTTCGCATCGTTTCATTCGACGCAGACGCAGCCAATTAATTTAAAAAAACAGGTGAATAAATCAACATTTTGTCGAAATTGAATTTAAAAGTATTATTTTTCTCGCAAAATATCGACTATTTGCGTAACTATTCATGTAAAAAAAAAAAACCGCAGAAATATCAAAGAGATCCTATTAAAACCACTACTACGTATACACTAGGTAAACTACATAAAATTTGAACTGAATCTATCTGTTAGCTCTTGCAATGTTTCTGGCTACCCTATTTTTGGAAATTTCGGTGCGAGAACGATGTACAGCCATTCGTGAAAGTATTCGAAGAGTATTCCAATGAAAGTATTCCAACAGTTTGAACCCAACACTTTAATGAACGAAATAAATAGACACAATGAAACATTGAGTATGGAATAAAGCGCTAAATAGAAAAAACTTTACCTAACGTGATATAACCTCGTTAACTTAAAGTTTGGATAATTTTGATACGAAATGGAGGACATTTCTAAAAAAGGAATCTACCAGTCTATAAGCAAATAGTTAACGAACTGCCAAATTTAAACTAAACTAGATAATTGTCATGTTTAAACTTAACAGAATATAACCTAACCTTTTGCGCTCGAGGAGACTTTTTCGCTATAAGGAAGTAGCAACTTGAAGATCGAGAAGTTTCACTCTACCCGCCATTTTGATTTATGAATTACTTTATGAATT